CGCAAGCCGCGCCTCGCCTCTGAGCGGTGCGCCTGCGCCCGCCGGGACTTCTGCTGCGCGCCCCGGGGGTGCAGGCGCTGGCTTTGCTCTCCCCTGTGCAGCTTTTTTCCCCGCCCCCCCATTTCCTAGGAAGTTCATGCTTAGGCTGAGAGGGCAGTTTTGGTTCGGCTCCTTTCCCGCTGGTCTCAGGCTAGCAAGGTCGGGCGGCTGGTTTTCGCCCACTTGTTCAAACCCGATCGGGCCCTGCCCACGCTGCGTTTTGCTTTTTCTCGGGAGGGCTGCAGCCTTCTGGAGAGGATTCAGGCCAGAGCTGGATCCAGGCCCGAGCGGGGGTCACATCCGCTGCCGAGAGAGGCCTCTGCGTGGAAACACTCTTTGAATATCTTGAACAGCCCCATAACGGCCAATAGACTTATCAAAGCGTGACTTGCCAGGCCGCGCGAAGGGCAGCTCTGGCAGTCGTCTGCAACCCGGCCAGGGAACGTCCCAGACGTGCCTGTTCCCGAAGATATTAGCAAGTGTTTCAGGGCTGTGGCTGTCAGATGTCATTAGTCTAGGCACATTCACCGAGCCATTTGATTAACGGGGGGGGGGGAGGGGGGCATGGCCACGGCACACAAGCGTGGAGTATTTGGTGGTGGTGGGTGGGTGTCGGAGCTTGTCTCCTTTAACAACCAAAGGCCCAAAGTTATGCCAGCATTTATCAAAGGGCAGATGCAAAGAAACTGGGACCTCAGTAGTAGGGTGCAGACTTGGGAGGGGGAGCTTCTGTGGGAATGAGACTGCAAGTCCGTGGAATGCAAATCATGCTAGTGTACGTGGGGTGCAAACTTCGCAGATCTGCTGCTTTATCACGGAGACCGGCATGACCCATCCAGCCAGGACAGTGAGCCTTGGCGCTCACCCCGTGAACCCGCGGAGGTCCTGAGAGCTAGAAGCTGACATTCAGACCCTCAAAAGAGGTCAGGCAGCCTCTGATTGCGGGCAGGAGCAGATGGCTGCTCACGTGGGGAAAAAAATGAGACCGGTAAATCCAGTTTCCAGGGAGATAGGGATTTCAGGTAGTTTCTACACGGCCACGAAAAGGGACAGGTAAGGACGGTGTAAAGTGTCTGGGAAAATCCAAACCAGTACAAAGACAATAAGCATCAAACCAAAGTTCGGTGCTCCATTGGCTAGCCCTCGTCGCACCCCTCCCATGCCATGCTAACTTTAAGATCAAAGCATCAGTCTTAGACCTGGATAAATTTTGGGCAAATGTACCATCCCTGAGAAGTGGTTTTGCCAAGTGACTAGATGAGAGAGAGCCTTTGGGGGATTGTAGTTAGGGTAGTTCACTGCACCAACAGCACACACATAATATCATGATATAAAATACCCCAATGTCCAGACTAAACACAAAGCCGTGCTTACCAACGGGAAATTGTTTTGCTGAGAAAGTACCATGTGTTAAGGAGGAAACATCTCTTTATATTTTGTATTTCTTAGGTTTCAAAGCACTTACCTTCAAGATAGAGCTCTTTGGTTAGGCATTCCAAAAATTTTGAAACTATCAAGATTTGAAGCAAGGCTTATTCTTTTTTATAGGTTGTTTCCCACACTGCACTGTACTGTCCCTTGGCTGTCTTGAGGGGCAGGAGAAGAGCCATAGGCATGAGCTCTACTATCACAATGGAACCGCTAAGTGATTCATTCACTTTTATGCTCAACCTAAA